GACCTTGTAATTCACTCTTTGCACATCACAGATCAAATTTGTGAATCCAGGTCTAAACTGAGCTGGACAGCAGTTGCCTTCACCACAAAGGAGAGGGGTTGCAAATGCAAGAGGTCAGTGGGGGTCCTGAGAATGTGCTTCTTCTGCCAGAACACAGGGAGTCAGGTTATAGGGAGTAGGTGGACCACACCGAGCCATTGTTCATTCTCCCAATTTCTCATCAGTCTTATATAAACCACTCCTCTCCCTTGGAGTGGGGTGGGGAGAATATGGGAGAAGAGAAAGGGTCAGTTTCTTATTTACCTGCTGGGACATAGACCCACACACACACCTCTCAGGAACAGGAGGTGCAAAGCAATAGCTAAGCTAGAATCACAGTTTGGGCCCAGATCAGTTGTCACCACAGAGTTTGGACTTGACTGTAGTCAATGGTGAGCAAGATGGGAAGGTGTTGATATGCCAGACTGCCTTTTGACTTTTGGAAATGAGATGGATGGAACTAGAAACAATAAACCTGAACTAAAGTGGTGGGGCGGGAGGAGAGATGCAGAATTTGGCACCTAAGGATAAATCAAAGGAAAAGCCTCCCTTATACTTTAGAAAAGGAATTTGGGACCATCAAATGAAACATCACTGCTAAAACTCTCTTCCAAAAAAAGAAACAATGCTTTCTGTGAAGCAAACGGAAACATTTTATATCTTTCCACTAACATATCTTTAAACATAACCAATATAGTCATAAAAAAATCATAATTTTGATGTATATATTTAATCACACAGAAAGCTGTTTGTAATACATTACAGAATGAAAATAAAATTACAAAATGAAATTTAAAATGATCACATCTTTTTATATGTATATATATAACTTGCAAGTTGTTCTAAGCTGTCAGGACCACACACAAACACAAAGAAAAGCATTCTGAAAGAACATCTATCAAAATGCTAAGAGTGGTAATCTTTTTAAAATTTTTTCAATAGAATTAGGGAATAGTACAAGTGTTTTTTGTTACATATATGAATTGTATAATGTTGAATCAAGGCTTTTAGTGCACTTGTCACCAGAAAAGTGTACATTGTACCCTATAGGTAATTTTTTTATCCCCTTCCCCGCCCTTCTGTCAGTCTCCCTCCTTGTAAGTTTTTTGTTTTTTGTTTTTTTTGAGACAGAGTCTGGGTCTGTTGCCTGGGCTAGAGTGCCATGGCGTCGGCCTAGCTTACAGTAACCTCAAACTCCTGGGCTCAAGCAATCCTTCTGCCTCAGCCTTCTGAGTAGCTGGGACTACAGGCATGCACCTCCATGCCCGGCTAATTTTTTCTATATATATTAGTTGGCCCATTAATTTCTTTCTATTTTTAGTAGAGACGGGGTCTCGCCCTTGCTCAGGCTGGTTTCGAACTCCTGACCTCGAGCAATCCGCCCACCTCGGCCTCCCAGAGTGCTAGGATTACAGGCGTGAGCCACTGCGCCCAGCCTCCTTCTAAGTTTCTAATGTCCATTATACCACTTTATGAAACATATATCTATCATTTAACACCCACTCATAAGTGAGAAAATGTGGTATTTGTTTTTCCATTTCTGAGATACTTCACTTAGAATAATGGTCTCCAATTCCATCCAGGTTGCTGCAAAAGACATTATTTCATTCCTTTTTATATCCTATTTTCTTTAAATAAGGAGCAGTAATATTTAGGTGGCAAGCTTTTTTTAAAGCTTTTGCTTATTTCTACATATTCCTTATCTCACATATTGCTACAACAGTCAAGCATGGCTTTTGCAAACTTAAGAAAAATAATTTTTAAAAATTAAAAACAAAACACTGCATGATTTCAGCATTTTAAGGTTTTACTAGAGATTCATTCAATGTGTATTTAGCAACTTCTGTATCTATCAGGCATTAAGCTCCCTGCATGTGGCAGAGATCATCTGGCTGAGATTGGGAATATAACTCAAATAAACATTTTCTAAATACATCACTGTGCAATCCATATAACAGTAGATCAACAGATCTCACATATGTTTGTATTATTGAGCTAATAATAATGATTGAGCTAATTCTCAGTTCATTAAATAAGGAGAAAAGTCTTTAGTGTCTTTCCCTTGACATATGATTTTTGCAAATTATTTCCGAATAAGAGCGAATGTGGGGACTCACTCAGCTCAAAGGCAGCAAGAATTTGGACATTGTACAGGTGAAAATATATATGTATATATATTAATATATCACATGTGCTCTTTCTTGAACACGCAGATTGAGCCTTCTGGAAGGAAGCTAGTGCTAAAAGTGTGGGCAGCTTTAGATTCGGTCTAAATTCAGTTCTTTACTCCACCACTGACTGTGCAATCTTAAGCAAGTTCTTTAACTTCTATAAGACTCAGTTTACCCATTTATAAAACAGGGATAATTATCTCATACTGTTACAGAAGAGATTAAATGAGAACTTGCATGTGAAGACAAAATATTATTAGAGTTTATAAAACATGAGTGCCTTGAACGTTAAACTCATGTGCATTTTCATTCTCAAATCATGGTAGGAGTTGCGGGGGAAGGGGGTGGTCCTTGTAAAATGTAACACAAACGAAGGAAGCAAATGAGAGAAGCAGTCATGTCTTTAAGGTGGCCAGACAGAAAGGCATTTGCAACCAAACAGTGCAGGCAAGAGTCTGGGGGCTTTTCTTTCCTTTACCCAGAAAGATGCCACAATTAGCTGATGAAATAAAAGAGTGGGGCAAAAAAGATGTAAAAAGAGGGAGACTATAATAAAAACACCACTAGCATCACCAAAATTAAAGGCAGTAAGTTTCCATGAGTGGCACCCTTCCTAGTATCTGGCCAAAAGTAGACTGTCCAAATATGTTTACTCTGCTAATGAGAGCAGATTGAGATATTCTTTCAAGAAGGAATTTTGCAATAAAATTCAAGAATCTCGTGTAAATTCAGTAATTCTCTATCTAGGAATATATTCTAAGTAGGGGGAAACTCAAAGATTTACTGAATATATGTGTTAAACAAGCACTTATAATTGGGAAAATGGAAATAATCGAATATACAGTAGTAGAAAATTGTTAATTATTAAATAGATGTAATACATCCATATGGTGGAATATTACACAATCACAAAAACTGAGTGGGAGGCAAGAGCACAGAAGGAAATGCCTACTGTGCACTGTGTCTTTCTTGGGGTGCACACTTCTACAGCCAGGGCTCAGGCTCCCTTGTTTTCACAGCATTCCCTTCTCTCTCCCGTTTTTTTTCCTACCACAACCCTTCATATACATTTTTTCTGCTTTTTTTTTGTTCATTTATTTATCCTAGTAACAGCCCCTACCTCCTTCTTCTTCTAATTAATTTTGATCAGTAGATACATTTTAAAGCAGTTTTTCATGACTTTGAAAACAAGGCAAAGATTGTGCATATGTACATGCAGGCACACGCGCTTGCACATGCTGCGCCCATATAAAAATATGCAACTAACAAGCAACAGTGATGGACTCTGAGGAGAACACAGGAAGACCAGAAAACTGGACTAAAGGGAGACCTCATTTCATGGTTATTCTTTGGGTGATGATTTGAAATACTATGAACATCATGTTAGTCTGGACTGCTATAACAAAAATCACGGATCCAGTGGCTTGTAAACAGCCAGAATTTATTCTCTCACAGTTCCAGAGGCTGGGAAGTCTAAGATGGAGGCACTGGTGGAGTCGATGTCTGGTTAATGGCTGCTTTCTGGTTTCCAGATGGCACCTTCTTGCTGTGTTCTAATATGACAGAAGAGATGAAGGTTCTCCCTCAAGCCTCATTTGTAAAATCACTAATCCTATTCATGAGGGCTCCATCCTCCTGACCTAATCACCCCTCAAAGACCCCCAGCTCCTAATACTATCATTTCAACATACAAATTTGAGGGGGACACAAATATTCAGTCTATAGCAAACATGGACTATCCAGTCAATATAAAATAAATATATATCACAAATGATGGAATGTAGAACTAATCTGATAGAATATGATCTTTTTTATATAAGCAAGGATGGGCCCAGAAAGATGAAGTAATTTTTCCAAGGTCACACAATAAATTAGTGGAAGTTCCAATACCAGAAGGAAGAGGCTCTAGCAGTAACAGAAACAAATTTACTGAGCACCTGGCGTTTAATTCCCTTCATAACCCTGAGAAAAACATTTTTAAAGATGACAACACTGATGCTCAGAGACATCAAGTAACTTGCTTAAGGTCACACAGCTACTGAGCAGAAGCTCAGGTTCAAACTTGATTCTGCCCTCCAACTCCCTAGTGTCTGCTTTCTGAATCTTTATGCTGCTCTGCCCCCTCCTTGTCCTGTCACCTGAATTCTGTTCTATTCATCTGCTCCATGCTCCAAGACACGATCCTCTCATTTCTTTGAGTTCACCCTTACTGATCTGTACCACCCCAAAGAGCAAATCTATAGATCCATCCAAACTTCACTTTTTTCCAAATAGAAGATATTTTCCTAAAGACAGCCTCATAAGTGAAAGCATTTTGAAAGCATTTCACATATTGTTGCTTCACAAAAAGTATTTACCATTTACAATTTTCTTTTAAACCAAAAGGCAACTCTGCCTCCTTTTACACAGTACCATTAGACTGTGGATTCACGAAACTGAGCTGTACGGACCCTTCCACACTTTATTGGAAGATGCATCAGTCAGGGCCCCAGAAGAAAACAGATGACACACTCAAATAAAGTCCTTAACAAAATATAATGAGGGGACTGTTTGCATGGGTTTAAGCAAAAAGGTATTTGAGAGAAACCACAGAAGAAGGTCAAGCTCCCTGGGTTAGCAACAGCAGGGAGACATTACAACCCATTGGCATGAAGAGACAAGGGAGAGAGCAGTTAATGTACCCCAGTAGAAAATGGGCGTTCTGTTGCTGCCATTGCAGCCCAGCTGGGAGGAAGTCGGGGACATGAATACTACAGTATCACTCTCCTACTTTCTGATTTCTTCTGCAGATACTGCCATTGGCCTAATCCAGCCAAAAACGAAAGAGCCCATTAGGGAACACCTGGAAGGGCGTGGAGTGAGGTGGCAAGGAGTAGAAAGTTGATCTGGAAAGGTATACAGAAAATACCCCATATGATCTCTGCTGATGTAGCACCATAACTTAACTCAGCGGCCATTCCCTCTGCTGACTGGCTGCTGTGTACCACTAACCTGATTACTGACTTGTACACAAGCCTTTCTGTGGTCCTGAAAAATCCTCCAGATCCTGTGCTGACCACCCTGAGCTGCAGACTTCTCCACCCTGGCTTTAACAGCACAATTGGAAAACATGGAAATGACTGTGTGTAAAACAATTCCCAAATTCTGTCCATTATAACCTTGACACCTCCTGTAAGTTCTTCCACCTGGCATCACCAGTTTCCTTAAAGTCCGAGTCCCTGAAGCTCCACACCACTGTCTCAAGAGGCACCATGCTTCCTATTCTCTGGGTCCTAACACACTTCCCATGCATAGTCTGCAAAATTCTTCAAGAATTTCTCTGGTCATTTAGCCAAGACCATCTCAACAAAAAATTCTATACCTCCTACCTTCTTGCAAAATGTGATATTTAAAATTAGCCCTTAAAAAGTCACATGAAATTTCCGTAGACAGAATCAGATTTTAACATCCTAGGCCAGCTCTCATTTGAAATGAAATCTTCCAAAGCCTGAGGGAGGAAAAGTGAGCTGTAATGGAGAGCAACCCGTATTAGAAATAAAGAGACTTGTCACAGTTCTGCTACTGAGTAGCTGAATGACCTTGGAGAAGATACATAAGCCTGAATCGATCCTCATAAATATGAGGTGACTGAATTAAATGACCCCTCAAAACCCACAAAATGTGAGAATTCTATAGTTTTAAGAATCTTTGTAAATTAAAGAACCCTGAAAATGGGGAGGATGAACCTATTTGAGAAGGAATTAAAATTTCCCACATGTAACCAATGGAGCCTGAATCATCTCTGGGAGAAAAAAAGTTCCTTTCCTAAGTGTTGCCCCTTTCTCAGGAGAATGAACTCCTGCTCAAGGTTTTCTTCAGAGCAATTTTAACGTCCTTATTCCTCAGGCTATAGATCAGCGGGTTGAGCATGGGCACCACAGTGGTATAGAACAAAGAGGACACTTTGCTCTGGTTCATAGGTAAAAGAGAAGAGGGTTTGAGGTACACAAATGCCCCTGACCCAAAGAAAAGAGAAACCGCAATCATGTGGGAGCTGCAGGTGCTGAAGGCTTTGGACCTGCCCTCGGTAGAACGAATGCGGAGGATGCTGGAGAGGATGAGGGCATAAGATATGAAGATGGTGACTGTGGGCACACCGATATCAATGCCCACAACGACAAAAACCACCAGCTCATTCACACGGGTGCTGGTGCAAGAGCGTTCGAGAAGGGGAAGGATGTCACACATGTAGTGGTTGACGAGGTTGTGAGCACAGAAGGTCAGACTCACCATGCATGCTGTGTGGGCCATGGCCCCAGCAAACCCCATCCCATAGACACCCAACAAAAGGAGCAAACACACCTGGGGAGACATGGTGACCGTGTACAACAGCGGGTTACAGATGGCGACATAGCGGTCATACGCCATCGCCGACAGGATGAAGGACTCAGAGACGACAAAGAAAAGAAAGAAGAAGAGCTGAGTCATACACCCAGCATAGGAGATGATGTTCTTCTTTGAGACAAAACTCATCAGCATTTGGGGGGTGATGACACTGGAATAGCAGAAGTCTATGAAGGACAAATTATAGAGGAAAAGGTACATAGGGGTGTGCAGGTGAGAGTTCAGCCCAATCAGGGTTATCAAGCCCAGGTTCCCCACCACGGTGACCACGTAGACACCTAGAAACAGGCAGAAGAGGGGGATCTGGAGTTCTGGCTGGTCCGTTAAGCCTGCGAGGATAAACTCTGTCACAGAGGAGGAGTTCCCAGCAGCCATTCTCCTTTAAGGCCTTCTGTAGGGACAAGGGGAAAGAGCCATTTAGAGAGAGAGAGAGAGACCACTGCTACCTTCTCCGTCACCTCCCCCATTCTTGAGAGTCAGATGCACACAGAGAGATCCTGAACTTCAGCAGAGGGGCCCTTCCCGAGGCCCGTGTGGTTCTCACGCCCTGGTCATGCTGCCGCCGCAGGAAGGGAGGGCGCTGCTGGAAAAGACCCTCCAGGAAGAGACGCTCAGACCTTCGCGTTGATCCTTTTGTTATGTCCTTCTAACTCCAGTTTCTGCTACAGTTTACAAACACTGGAGCCAATCTCTGGGAAAAGTCCTCTCAAAGGCTGGAGCCAGCCCAACTGTGCCCAGAGAGTCTACTTCATAGTCATGGGGGACAGAGCAGAAGGGTGAGGGGTTCCCTCTCAGAGCATTAGTATCCGAGGTTGGGGACATAGGACAAGTTCAGACCGCACACTCTGATTTAGCCACTCAGCCTCTGCAGCCTGCAGCTTCAAGGATGTACCTTTTGGTCCAGCTCTTATCTTCCTTTGTTCAGACAGACTGTCTGCAGAGCTGACGGATGAAAGACCTGCACAGACCCCTCTGCTCCCAGTGCTGACTGCAATACCAGAGCCCGGGCTGCCTAGAACTCTTTCTGAGCCAGCGAACATACCTGACGGAGGTTTGCCCTGAGGCTTTTCTCCAGTTTGCAGAAGGGAGACAGCATTCCCACCTGTCATCAGTGACAGCTGGTGACAGGAGATAGAGCAGTTTTATTCTGAGTTTGGAGATCTGGGGACCTGATTAGAAGTAGAAAGCCAAAGTCCCTCTGGGATCAGAGCCCTAGTTATTATCTTTTTTAAAAAGGAATTTTTGCTTATATACCCTTGATAATATTTGGAAACATTAAAATATGTGTTCAATTAACATCTACTTAGTAATATGAAACACTGTGCAATAATAAGTAGTTTATAAAATAAAATTTATCACTTATTAAGCACTTAATGTATGCCTAACACTTTTTCCCTCCTAGCAGAAAAAAAATAATTATACACTGACCTCAACATACCAGGATCCAATACCATTTTTAATTTAATATTTCATTTTAATTCTACCCCAAATCCTATCAGCGGGGTTTTATCTCCTCCATTTTAGATATAAAGTAATGCCCACTAGGTTAAATCACAAAGGCCGTATTAAACCTTGGTCCATCTTACTCCCGGTCTGGTGTTCTTGTGTTTTAGTTTCTCCCAATGGGAGACAATGAAGTGTATAAAGCACAACCCTTGCCTTCAAGGACCTGAGGATGTCTTCAAAAGGATAACAGAACTCACCTAACTAAATATGCAAAAGAATGTGAGGCAGAAAAGGCAAAAATAAAACGTTATGCCAGTTGCCAGAGGGCATTCGACATCGCACTTACATTTCAGTTCATCACTGGAGTTGCACAATACCAGTCCAGAGGACAAACCAACCTGTCTTTGGAGGAATTTGAACTTGACAGTAAAGAATAATCCCCATGGGTTCAGAACAGTTTTCTCTAAAATTGCTAAATTTTTGGAAATCCCCTCCATGGCCCTGTCCCTCGCCCTCGCTCCTTCCAGTATTACTCAGCTCTCCTCAGGCTCCCAGGCCCTCGTACTGAGCCTGCGGGCCTTAAGGCCTGACTCCCCTTCCTCCCACCGGACATCTGTCTCTCTGCTTTGCTTCCTTTGCTCCTTTCCTGACTCCTCTCTCTCATAATAAAAAGTTATCCTCTCCGTGTCCCATCCTCTCAGACCCTTGCTTGAACTCAGTGACAGCTAATTCTCACTCTTGGAGCCCCACAGGTTTGGATCAATATTAAAAAAATCATAGGCCGGGCGCGGTGGCTCACGCCTGTAATCCTAGCTATCTGGGAGGCCGAGGCGGGCGGATTGCTCAAGGTCAGGAGTTCAAAACCAGCCTGAGCAAGAGCGAGACCCTGTCTCTACTATAAATAGAAAGAAATTAATTGGCCAACTAATATATATAGAAAAAATTAGCCGGGCATGGTGGCGCATGCCTGTAGTCCCAGCTACTCGGGAGGCTGAGGCAGAAGGATCGCTCGAGCCCAGGAGTTTGAGGTTGCTGTGAGCTAGGCTGACGCCACAGCACTCACTCTAGCCTGGACAACAAAGTGAGACTCTGTCTCAAAAAAAAAAAAAAAAAAAAAAAAAATTTCATCCTGTGGTTCATACACCTGACTGCACACCTGAATTAGATGATTATATACACACTAAAAGCACAGATCCTGCTGCCCCCAAGCCAGACATCATAAAGCAGAATCTCCAGGGTTGGAGTTTTATAATCTGTGTTTCTCTTCTAAGTCGGCCCCTATTGACCTGGATATTTAGCCAGGCTTGGGATTCACTGATCTGATCCTTCCACCTTATATTTTCCAGAAGGAACAATCAAGGCCCAACCAGTCACAGAGCTGATTGGTGGTAGAAGTCTGGAATAAAACCTGGTCTCCAACCTTTCGATGACATTGTCTAGGAGAAGCTCACCTGGCCTTTAGTTTGGCTGGAATGCAAAGTGCAAGTAAGGGACATAGTTGGGTATCAGGCCTGGAACAGCACCCCAGGTCCCTACTGGGGAGAGACATGAAGATCATGACAGGAATTATGTATGCAGTGTGAATCCATGGGATATAGTAAAGGAAAGTGACATGGCCAGAGCTGTGCTGAGGGCGACCAATTACTTTACTGGGCTATTGAGTGCTGATGATGTGATGCAATGTTCTCTCCGCCCCAAGTGTTATGTTTAACTCGTCATTCATGATGCCTTCACACAAAGCACTAGCAATAAGGTAAGACACAAATTTTCATAGCAAATAATAGGTAAATGGAACAAAAGGCCTAAGTTTTTTTAACACAATTACAAATCACATAATGCTGGCCCTGCCTTGTAGCTGTGTTGTCTTCTGCCCACTATTCTGAACATTTTCACCAAGCCCTGAGTTCAAGTGCTGTCACCAAGCTCTCTGTGTGAACATCTTTAAGGCCTCATTTTATATAACTCGGCCTGGCTACTGTCACTGCATCAGCAAGCTGCATCTAGCTGAAGTCAAACAGCACTGTTCCTTGGGTACCGCTATCTCCTGCCTTCAGCCTGAGGGTGTCTGTAGAATGTGGAGTGTCTGTGAGAAGCCTCTCAGCCATTCCCGTGCTCGTGCAAACCTGGAGTGTGAAGGAGTTAACGCCCCTGGGAGCCAGTGGGTAAAAAGCTCCCCGTCTCTGTATCTCTAGTAGCTCATTCCTCATAGTATCTCGAAGGGCCTCAGAAGGATCCATCCCAAATTTCCCATTACGGTAACCAATATCCTACCTGTGGATTGTTTTTCCATCATCTCCTATTTCACATTTCCTCTTCCCTGGAATCACTTTTAAAAATAAGTTGCCTGCACACAAATCCTTGCCTCCAGCACAGAAACCCCAGCTAGGCTACCCCTAAAACAGTGTTTGGAGCAGGTGTGAACAAAATATTGCTTACTCTGGCTGAGAGGAAGCAGCCTCACCCAGTGGAGTTTGAGTCCAGGTCAAGAAACTGATAGTTCTTATGAAACTGCATATGAACCACTAAATACATTAAGTATCTGCAATCCCACATTTACAGAGGGTTTTTATGTCTCGAGGATGCCCTGTCAAAAAGCTGAAATGCCAGGAGTACTTTGTCCCTAGATTTCCTGCTGCTCTACTCACAACGTATTGCTGTCCCTGATCATCCCCATACCCCTGAGAACTATGGCAGATGCTAGTGAGGTTTATTCACTTTCATATCCTTAGAACCAAATAGCTCACAAAATGTTTATTACTCTCTGATTCTCAATCTCCTCATCTGCAAATGGGGATAATGACGATAATCCACAGGGTTGTTGTGAGGTTTATGTTAAATCATGAGAGTGAAAGAGCCCAGCACAGAGGCTGGCTCATGGAAAAGCCTTGATAAATGTTGAAATATACATAAAAAATATATAAAATGTATATGATTTAGGGAGGTAATGAGAAAGGCAAAATCTTGCTAAAAGCTGGATGAGCCTGAAAGAGGCAAGCAGGGTCTGTTGTACAGAAGAGGGGGAAAGCCAACAGGGGTGAGAAAAGTTTTGGAACAAGACTTTCTTCTTCAAGACTTTCTCCAAGGCCCACATCTCCAACATAACCTAATCCACAGGCAGCCTCAGGGGCCCTGAGTATTTCACCCTGTCCCTCCTTCTGTCCTAGCCCGAATGCCTATTGTTCAAATATTCGCGTTATACCACTCCACAAAGGCCAAATTATGAAGTCAGGTGAGGGTTCCTTTGCAGCCACCTATCTTCTCTTTCTGTGCCCACATCTAGTCTCAGTAAAAATTCTTCTTCCCCAAACATTCACAGTCTTAATGCTTGCTCTACCTTTAGTTCTTTGTCAAAACCAGTTCTCAGGAAAAACCTCACAAATTCATCAACACGCAGTTGACTAAAGACTGTTAGGGATTAACCACGTTCTACACCCTCTTCCAGGCATTTTTTAAAAAATGAAGACAATACCTTCAGCCAAAAAAAAAAAAAAAAATAGATCTTTAAGTAAAGTTTCAATAGCACTCAGTCAATGACAGAAGCATTTTGGTTGGGTTAAGGCAGCTGGAGTCATCATGCAGTGGGTTCGTATTCAGGACCATGTTGGCAGCTACATGACCTCCACATCACAAGCTAATTACAGCCCCTCTATCAATCCAGTGTGTGTGTGTGTGTTTGAGTGTGTGTGTGTGTGTGTTGTGTATGAGCGTTGGGTGACATTTGCACGTACCCCAGTGCTTGCTATTTCTCCACACGTGGAATATATTTTAGTCACTGCTCAGCGACAAGAGGCCTCAAGTGTAAATCTTAACACTTAGAAATTTGCCATTGCCTTGGTGATTAGAATAAACCCAATCCCCGCTCTCATTCCCGCTGTTGTCAAATTACAATTAAAGAAAATAAATCATTATTACAAACCTGAAAGGAGCCCCATAGGAAAAGGTGCTCCTTGGGGCACAGAAAGCAAAGACTCCAGCTTCATTAGAAGTTGACTTTTCCCCACGAGCCTCAGAGGATTCTTGTTTAGATGATGGAACAACCAAGAAAAGTTCTTCTGGGATAATGTCACTTTAAAGCCTGTTGCCATGGGAACTATGTTTCAAAATCCTCTCAACTGGGGCTTGACTAAAGTCATGTTCCCTGAGGAGCAGATGAAGCCCAAGCAGGAAGCAGTGTAGGAAGAACTATTCTTAACTCTGTTCCTTTTGTTGCAGAACTGCCCTCTTTCCAAAACTTGAATTTCTGTATAGTGATTCTTTGTTTTATTTATTTCTATTTTTTTGTCTTTGTAAAGTTACATTGTATTTGTGCCATTTCATGTGTGAAATGTAAAGGCAGTACAATGTCTCTCACACATGTACATTGACCCTCAGACTTCTACTGGCATGAGGTTGGCCCCAATTGTACTGACCATCACCACACACCAAGCACCAGTTTTGTAAGAAGTCACAGAATGTGACCCAAGACAAAGATGGAACTGAAAGGTCTTCATTTGAAATGGCTTTCATTAGCTCCTGAGAAACTAAATATCAGGATTCTGCATTATACTTAATCTCAATTTACTTTTATTATTTTCTTTTTTTAATTTTTTATTGCAGCATATCACAGGGGTACAAATGTTTAGGTTATGTATATTGCCTTTGCCCCACCCAAGTCAGAGCTTCAAGCGTGTCCATCCCCCAGAAGGTGTGCACCACACCCATTAGATATGTATTTAACCATCCCCTACTCCCCTCCCATCTGCCCAACACCCAATGAATGTTATTACTATACGTGCACTTAAGTATTGATCAGTCAATACCAATTTGATGGTGAGTACATATGCTTGTTTTTCCATTCTTGTGATACTTCACTTCATTGAATGGGTTCTAGCTTTATCCAGGATAATACAAGATGTGCTAGATCACCATTGTTTTTTGTGGCTGAGTAGAACTTCATGGTGTACATACATCACATTTTATTAATCCATTCATGTATTGATGAGCACTTGGGTTGTTTCCACATCTTTGCAATTCTGAATTGTGCTGCCATAAACAGTCTAGTGCAGATGTGCTTTTTATAGAATGTCTTTTGTTCTTTGGGGTAGATGCCCAGTAATGGAATTGCTGGATCAAATGGTAGTTCTACTTGTAGCCTCACTCCCCCATCAACCACCACTGGGATATTAAGTATTTTCAATTCATCATAAATAATATATGTATCTAATATAGAATCTTAGAATTAGATAGTACCTTGGAGATCTATGTTGGGGAATAACTAACATGTATTAAACCTATGTCCCAAGTACTGTGCTGAAAGTTTTATATACATTATGTAATTTATAGAAAATGAGTAATCTGCACAAAGTGCAATTTGGCATGCTTAAAAATACCATCCAATGATATTTTAGTATCATGAGTATCGAGAATACAAACACTACTACTAATATATTTTGTAAATGCTGACCAGTGCCAGAAACTATGCTAAGTGCTTTACATATATCAATTCAGTTAAATTTCACGAAAATCATATTATGTGGGTACTATTATTATCCTACTCTACATAAGAACATTTCAATGAATCAAAGAAACCAAAGTTGCTTACCTGTTAGTTTTCATGGCATGAACTCTTTTAGGCCTCAGGTATTTGTAGTGACAGAGGATTTTCAGGATTTGCTAGATTAATAGTCATGGGGGAAGAATAGATAGGAAAGGCCAAGTGTCAAAGATGAATAAAATATCAATCCCAAGACCAGAAATAGGGAAGCAAAGAGGGAAAATAAAGAGATAGACTTTACACCTGATTGTCATGTGCTACATCTAAGAACAAATGGTCAGTAAAAAGTTGTCAACGTAAGATCAGAGGTTGGGAGGAGATATCACAACACAAATTAGGAAATCATATAAATAAAGATGATCACAGAAAGCTCAAGTTAAGATTTAAGAATATTTCTCTGGAAATGGACAGTAAAAAGAAAAAAAAAAGATTTAAGAATAAAACCTTAGAATTGTCTACAATAAATGAAACAGGAGAAGAAAGTCATTAGTAAATGTGTCATAGAAGGCAAATGTAGTGGCCCTGAGCAAGCTTTGTAGCCAAATGACCTGGGTTCTAATCATATCACCCACTGGCTGAGTAAGTTGACACAGTCTGGGCCTCAATGACCCCATCTTTAAGCAGAGATATTAGTACTGATTATATAGGATTGCTGTGAGGATTAACTATCAAAATGTTTAGTAAGTAGCTTTGAAAGGTTATTGAAGGGTTATTCCTCCATATCTTTTTTTAATATTTGGTCAAATTTATTCACTGTTTCAGAAGTCAATTACTCCAGCCTCAACTGTATTATAATTATGCTACTAATGTCAAAATCATATTCTCAGAGCAAGACAGCTCACTAGAGATGCCTTTCTTCCCCAAGAAAGGACTAAGAGAATGTTAAGAAGCTAAAATTTGACTGGAGTGTCAAAGAAAAAGCAGAAGAGTGGAAACACTAAAGTACAGCAGGAGAGTAGAAACACACCTATGGTAACTGGAAGTCCAGGAGGCAATGTGGAGGTACCCAAACTCTGCAGCCCTGTCTTCCCCACCTAGATTGACCTAAGACAGCAGGGACTTCCCACTGTGGGGAAAAGACACACCCCTAGGCCAGCTGAACAGCTATGCATCTATATCCTAGACCTGAGAAATAGCCCCTTGGGCCACCCCCAGCAGACATACCTCTAGGCTAGCCACATAGCCTAAATCCCAGGCATAAGAAGCAACTCTGTGGGCCAACTCTGGTAGATACCCCCAGTCTGGCTGACTAGCTGTATGCTCACGTACTGAGATGGAGGATCAGCTCTGTAATCTACCTCCAGCAGACATGCACCAGGCCAGCTAAGAAGCTGTGTGACCATGTCCTGGGCCTGAGAAACACCCCTGTGGGCAGCCTCTGGCAGACAGGTCCCCAGGCCAGCTAAGTAACTGCACACGTGTGCTCTAACCCAGAGTAACAGCCCTGTGGCTCCAACCACAGAGAGCCAGACCCCAAACTGGCTGATGCATCATGTATATGCACATGTCCCCAACCTGAGAAATAGCTCAGTGAGCCCAGCCATGGCAAAGCAGTGCCATTGTCACTACAAACTCTCTTAGCTTAAGCCACTGAAAAACTTACAAATGCCACTAGTGTATATTAGAGTTGAAGAAATTACACACAGAATACACTACTGAGTTCACTGTATTATAATTATGCTACTAATGTCAAAATCATATTCTCAGCACAAGACAGCTCACTAGAGATGCCTTTCTCTAGTGAGAAAGGCATTTCTAGGAACCAATGCCAGAGTGCTTACTGAACCAATACCCCAAGACCCATTTATACAAATAAGTCTTCCCTACCAAACCTATTTCATAAAATTAGAAGAGGTAAGTTTTCCACCAGATGTGCAGAAATAAACATAGGGGTGAATTAACCATGAAAAGACAAAGAAACATTTTAGCTCCAAAGGAAAACAATAATTCTCCAGTAACAAACCCCAATCATAAAAAAATATATAAAATGCCAGGAAAACAAATTCAAAATAATAACCTTAAGGAAACTCAGTGAGATACAAGGGAATACAGATATACAAATCAGTGAAATCAGGAAAGTAATTCATGAATCGAATGAGAAATTCAACAAAGAAATAGATATAATAAAAAAGAACCAAACAGAAATCCTAGAGCTGAAGAATTCAGAGAATAAAATAAAAAATATAATCAAAAATTTCAACAATAGATTAGACAAATCTGAAAAAAATATTTCTGGACTTGAGACAGGTCTTCTGAAATAACATAGGCAAAAAAAAGAAAAAAGGCTAAAACAAGCCTACAGGATTTATAGGACACAAGTAAGCAAACAAGTATTCATATTATGGGCATTCTACAAGGAGAAGAGAAGGAAAAAGGTTAGAAAACATATTTAATAAAATAATAGAAGAGGAAGGGAATTAAGATGGCGGACTAGAAACACTGCCAGACAGAGTGTCTCTGCAGAAGACAGATTCTAGCAGAAATTAGAAGAAAGAAGCAAGAAGATGAGCATACAGTGGACAAGGGTCGGAAGGAGGGGTACCTGACACCACAGGAGACTCCACGGGAGACTCCACGGGAGGAAGTTGCAAGGAGAACTGGAAGCTGAGACCGCTGGAACGGCCCGGAGACCAGCGGGAAGGGTAAGTGGATCAGTCACCCTTCCCCTCCCCCGCATCTGGGACTGCTAGTAGGCTCCCCAGCAAGTGGAGAGACCTGCGGACACTAGCCCAGAGACGGCCGCTGCCAGTGAGCAGTAAGCCAGTAGTGGACGCGGCACCAGGTTCCCAAATCCCTTGGGGCACCTCCGTGTGCACAGACCCAAGCCGCGGGCAGGCACCATATTGCCTCATTCTCCCCTCCGCTGACCCTACCCGCAGCTGCCCAAAGAGACAATATAGCCACCAGCTGGAGGCACCTCCAGGGAAGGGGACTTTCCCTTTTGGGGCCCTACAGCTGACTAAGGGGAACTCAGACTGTGAGCTCCCTACCCACCAGCCTTCCCAGGAGCTGCTGGCACGGTGATCCCAGGAGAACGGGGCAGACCCTGAGGCTAAGAGACATAGATCCAACTTGGGCTCCCTGTGAGCGAATTGGGACTGGCACTCCTCTCCCTGGTGGGGATATAGTTTGAACTCTGGGGCCCAGAGGTCAGACCTGCAGACAAAATCCCATGCACTGAGGTCTTGCATTGCCCGGGGCACAGAAGGGATATACGTGAACAACCTACTGAGGTGTGTGTGCCTTCAGGGGCAGATCAGCATCCTAGAGGGCAACCCACCTCCCAAAGGGAGGCCGTGAGCCCAGCCCAGGTGGCATTCCTGCACAAGGAACTTCCCCACCAGCATCACAGTCCAGGGAGGCCTGGTGGCATGTGGTCTGGCCTGCTGGCAGAGGCCCAGGAGTAGCTGTGGAGTTGAGGAGAGTGGAAAGAAGCGAGGCCCGCTTCAGACTGCAGGTCTCAGACAGCACCACCCCCACACGCAGATATTCTGATTGAGCGAGGCCATTCCAGCCCCTCCCTGACAGCTTTTCCTGAAAGCAGAGAACAGAACTTTGACCCCTGCTAATGGCATTGGTGGTGCCTGA